AAGTGAGACAGTAGATAAATGGAATAGAAGCCAGTGGGAAATTTACAGAGAGTGAAGATAGCTATAGGTCCAGTAAAGAAGAAACTGATGGAGGAAAACTTCAGTCAAGTGTGGGACATGCGGACAAGGTGAGGTAAGTTTTGCAGATCGATGAAGTGAAAAATGTAATACTAAAGTGTTTGAAGTCAAATTCGTATGAAGTAAGGAAAGAAGTTTTGTCACAGCTTGGAAATATGATATCAGAAATAAGAGAAGGCAGTGGATCAGAGAAATTTGCTGAGTCATCTAGTATCACTGAGAGTAGTAAAGTGTTGCCGGTGAAAATAATCCCTCAGTTGTTGGGTATGCTGGTCACAGAAAGTCATGAAGAATGTAAAATAGAAATTCTAGGGTAAGTTTTATCATGATATGTTCAATATTTTGCTTTATGTTCAACTATTAAGGTTGTAAACATTTAAGTAAAAAAGTCTGTCATTTCATGAAAAGTAGAATTTTAATGTGGATTTAGATAAATTTCAACAGGTTTCACCATTGCATATTTTTAGTCAGCATAGAATGTTATTGTTTGATAAGAAATGAATCCAAATGATGCAGTTAGTATAAGTCTCTTCAAAATATAATGGAGGAAATTGTATTGTCAAATGTTTCTGTTACAGCAATACTGTTTAGTGTTGAATATTTTTGATATATATGTTTGTAATCTTATTCATCCAATATATTTAAATATTGATGACCACTTTATACACATTTTTCTGGTCTTAGAATTCTAAAAGTGAACATCCTCAATATATACATGTATTCGGGAGTGTTTTAACATTAACAGGAAATAGATACATGTATATACTTAGATAGATACAGACTTGTAAAAATATGTTTATAGTTTTATGTTTCTTTCTACAAAAGTAATATTTATCAGTTACATTATATGTCTATTTCCAATTGTGTCAAAACCTTTGCAAGAATACATTGAGGATACAGATATTTATCAATCTAAGACCAGAAAAAATGTTAAGCGTAAATTGATCGCCTGTTGGAATTATACTTAAATTTATCTTAAATACCAATCTAAAGTATTTTCTAGAATTGTAAACACACTGAATTTTGACAAATAATTATATTTTATATATTGAACAACAATATTTCAGTTTGTTGGAGAAGAGTTTAGGACACTATGATATATCAGATAATAAAATGTTGACATTGATGCAATCTGTACAGGTGATAATGAACCAATTACAGCTACAAACATGCAGGTATAGATAATTTACATTTATTAACTTCATTTAAGTATAATAAGTAAATGTGATCAGGCTTCATCCTTCTATTATAATTTTCGTTTACAATAGTGATTATCAATAATACTTTATCAATTTTACATCTGCTGCTAGTTTCTTGATAAATAATATCTTGATGTTTGCCAGAATGATAAATTATATCTTGATGTTTGCCTGAATGATAAATTATATCTTGATGTTTGCCTAAAGTAGTAAGAATTGACATTTTTTCCTCTGTTGGATAGTACAAATGTTCAGGTTTGCATGGAATTGCATTGTGGTGTTAAGAAAGAAGTTTACTCTTACATTTCTTTATTTCAGTGACAAGTTAACAGCAGCTGCAATAACATTTACTGGAATGGCAATAAATCAGCTCTCTAGAATGTTTACTAATGGACCTAATAATCAATCTACAGCAAGTCTATTGCCGGTAGAGCAAGAGCATGAAGAAAAACACCATGTTTCTTTTGCAACACTTGTTGTGTTGTTTGTTGATATTATAAGAGGTTATACAGAGCAGATGGAAACTAGTTGTGACATACTTCTAGCATGTGCCAAGGCTTTGCTGCAGAATGTGGCTATTTTACTGGGAACTGATGCTCAAACCTGTCTAAAAAGTACAGGTAAATTTCCAGTTTCTTCTTTTCAACTTAAAGTTTTTGTATGTGATTTAATTTTCTATTTTGTTGAATGTTTTTAATTATATATATAAACTTTTTTGTAAAAAATTTTTAATTTTTAAAGATAATTTTAAAATCTCTGATTAAAACACTAGAACTTCCTTTTCTTTACCTTACAAAAGTCAATGCTTGATGTTTAATCACAAGAATTACCTTGTTCCCCCTTGACAAAAAGTCGTTTTTGGGTTTTTTGGGGAATTAAAATTTTAAAGTTAATTATTTGAAAGATGATGTTTTAAAGGGTGGGGGTCCTTGATTTTTACCAAAAAAAAACAAACATTTGAGGTCGGGGAGACAGAAAGCGGGCTTTTGGGTGTCTTTCATATGTCTTCTTTTTCAGGGTAAAAGGAAAAACACTTATTGAAAAAAATTAATTTTGAAATTTTTTTAAAGATAAAAAACATTATTATTATTTTTTGTTTTTTTAAAATAAAAATTTTGACCAGTTTGAGTAGGGAAATGTTAAATTTTGTACTTTTTATTAAAGGGTTACTTTTTAAAAACAAAAAAAAACTAAAAGATAAGATATTAAATTTTTTTTAAAGGTTGGTTTGTTGATATTTGAGGTTTTTTAAATTTGTCGGGGATTTTTTTACATATTTTTAGAGTATAAAGTTAAGTCAAGTGAACATTTTCTCAAAAATTTTAAATTTTCTTTTTTTCGATTTTTTTTCCCAATTTTAAAAATTTTTTTTATGGACACCCCTTAAATAGCCTTTAAAAAGGTTTCTTTTAAAAAATTGGGGGTTTCCGGAAAACTTCAGTTTGGTAGACAAGTTTCAAAAATTTTTTATTTGTATAAATGCTAGAGAAAAAAAACGAAAAGCCAAAGGGTTTTTTTTTTTGTTTTTTTTTAACCCTTTAAAAACTCTTTTTTGTTTCATACTTAAGACCCAATTAAAAGAAAATTTAAATTTGTATACAAGGACCGGGTTTTTAACTGTGCAAAAAAAAAATTCATTTTAAGTATTTTTTTCAATTCTTTGATTTTTGAGATAACCTTTAAACTTTTTTGCGGGTTCACTTTTCCGGGGGGCCCAAACCAGTATTTTGTTTAAATCAAAAGGGAAAAATTTTGGACCGTTTTTAATTTTACCAGGGTTTTTGAACTTTAAAATTACAGAAGTTTAAGAGGTCCACATCATTTTCCCCTTCTTTTCCCAGGGGTTTTTTTTTGTTTAAAGTCAAATTAATAAAAATGTTAATATGTAATCCCTTTTAAGGGAGTTCTTTAAATATAGTTTTTAAAAAGATTTTAAAATTTTTATGGGGAAAATTTACACAATTTGGTTTTTTTTCGGGGTTGTTTTTTAAACCAAAAAAGGGTAAGTTTATAATCATATATTTATTGTTATAGGAGTATGAGGAAGATTTTGTTGATAGAGGAGAAATGAATACATTACTGGGATGAACTAGATTTTTAACAAGGTTATACAAATTGTATATTATGTTACTTCGTAAAATTTTTATATTTTCTCTAGACAAAAAAAATATCCTTTACATTCTTGAATAGATTGTATAGAAGTTTTAAAATCCTTGACAAAAGAATTTAAACATAATTTTTTTTTTTAGTCTCAAAAGCCCTTGATTTATAATTCTATAGACATGTACAATGTATTTTGGAATATGTTATTCAAGCTTATGCTTTAAAATTGTCTTATTCAAGTACCAAGAATTCTAACTTCCAGTTTTATTAATATTGTTTACATACGTATTCAGTCCTGGGAGCTTTAACTTTTGTAATATGGGTATTGAGCAATAATATACGTTATAAAGAAATCAGAATTGAAAATATTTATGAATAATACCAAACTTGTTACAGATACTGGACAATGCTGTTATGAAATGTGTTCAGTGTGACAGGGACTGTCAGTCTTCTGTGGTGAGAGTTAGTTTTTGGGAAACCCTTTAGAGATAACATGAGGGTCAAAAAAATTTTTTAGAAAATTTGTGTTTAAAATATAAGTACTTATCCATCCCAAAAAATTTTCCCTTGTAACGCATGTAATTTTAAATTTTTTGAAGAAGTAAAAAAATATTACAAGAGTTTAAATTAAAACTATAACCCTTTATACTAAACAAATTTTTAAATAATTGAAAATTTAAAATTAAAATACAAAACAAATGTTTTTTAAACCCCTTTGGGTTCTATGAAATTTGGTTATTGGTGCATTGATATGAGAATTTTGAATCTTACTTTTTTTCTTTTTATTTTCAGTTTAAAAACCAGAGTAGTGTTTGGGGAAAATGGCCCCGGACACAAAGAAAAATATACACCAAAACAAACCCCTTTTGGGGTATTATAAAAGGGCAGCAGTAAAGGACTACTTTTATTTTGGGGGTCATGTGAAATTTCAAACTTATCAAAAGACAATGGGAAAAAGATGCTCTAACTTACCTTCCAAAAAAGTTTTTCTTCAAAAAATTCCCTCATACCAAAAAACATGTGTTATTACTTTTTAGGACATTAATAATGATCCCAAAAATTTGGGAAACTCCCCGAGGAAACTAGCTGTGATGAAGATGTTACTGAGTAGTTGAGAACACTGTTGTAATGGGTTTAAAAAACACAAAAGATTTAAAAATTTTTATGGCTTCCAAATGCTGTAAAGATGTTTGATTAAACTTTAACCAATCATTTACTGTTTTACAAATACCCCAAAATTTTTCTAAACCCCTGAAAACAAGACAGGAAAATTTTTTCTTTTTTAAAAACAATAATTATTTTGGGGCCCTGTTTATGACCAAAAACCCAACCCTAATGGGTTTTTCGACCAGCATGGATCCAGACTCAGCTGTGCATTCTGCCCAGTCTGATCAGGATCCATGCTGTTCGCTTACCAACTCTATTACAAGTAGAGAAACTGATAGGCGAACAGCATGGATCCTGATCAGACTGCGCGGATGCGCAGGCTGATCTGGATCCATGCTAGGTCGCAGAAAACCCATTATGTTGGTTTTTTTGTGACGCGGCTCATTTAATAATTGGCAACAAACAAAACAGCTAATGGTAACTCCTCTTTTTTTGTTGTGCATCATTTATATGTGAAATGGTGAAGTGCAGTGAAATTTATTTAATTATGTTGTAAAAACATACCAACTGTTCAAGAATGGATTTTCAATTCTGTGTAGCTCATAAACCTACTGTATAAACTCAACAATGTGATTTAAACTTAAAACATAAGGAAGAATATGTTCATTTTGATATAGAAACAGGAAGTATTAAAGAGAAGGTAATTTTATAAACCCTATCATTTAATGGCTGTGATAGCAATAAAATTTGTAAAAAACCCTTTTGTCGAATTTTTTGTTGAAAGTTTATTGCATTCATAGCAAATTTTTACTGTTTTTGATATAAATTTTGACTAAAAAAAATCTTTTTAATTATCCCTTTTGTTTAATGCTGAAAAATGAAGATTTCCTGATTCCAGGCATTTAAAGTTTAAAAGTAAAAAGGGTGGAAAATTTAAATAGGTTCAATTTTTGGGTTTTAAGAAAGTTAAAAAATTAAAATAGAAATTATCAAGTTTTCAGAAAAAATTTTTTTGCATATATTCTTGGGTTTTTTTTTATAGCTTTTAACAAAATGAGGGCCGCGTTTAAAGAAAAAAACCAACATAATGGGTTTTTCGAAACCCGCATGGATCCAGACCGGCCTGCCTCCCCCCCCCCCCAGCTGATCGGATCCATTCGTCCCCCTATTTAGTTTCTTAAAATTGTAATAGGGTTTTAAGCGAATAGCATGGATCCTGTCAGACTGGGCGATGCGCAGGCTGTCTGGTCCATGCTGGTTCAAACCCACTATGGTGTTGGTTTTGTCATGACGCGGGCTCATATTATGAATAAGTCAGACAGAAATGTCATTACGTAGTTTCTAGGATAATGTAAAACCGGAAGCCAAATTTCTTCACAAAAACAAAGAATTTATAAAATTCGAGTTTAACTGATTATCATCATTAAGTGTCTTTCAAATTGAAATAAAATAATTATGAAATGATATTTGTTATTACTTAGTTCATGCGGTTGAATGAAATGACAAGAAGCTGAAGTACATTTTATGCTAACCTAGCACACAGTGTATATTGTTAGATTAATGTATTTTTTTAAGCACATTGCAAGATTTTGTTTTCATCTGTATTAATTTTCACTTGTCAAAGGATGTGACACAATTCCGTCCGGAGATCCACATTCGCCTTCGTATTCTACTTCAATGCCACTGAAACAAAATAAGATTGTCAGATGTAATCCCCCTAAGTGCTATCATTTTCATGTCTCAAAATCAAAATCTTTTTATTTTTAGCTCACCTGTCACAAAGTGACAGGGTGAGCTTTTGTGATCGCTTTTCGTCCGGCGTCGGTCCGTCGTCCGTCCGTCCGTAAACTTTTACTTTAAATGACATCTCCTCATAAACCACTAAGCCAATTTCATCCAAACTTCACAGGAATGTTCCTTTGGTGGTCACCTTTAAAAATTGTTCAAAGAATTTAATTCCATGCAGAACCTTGGTTGCCATGGCAACCAAAAGAAAAAAACTTTAAATATCTTCTTCTAAAAACCCAAAGAGCTAGAGCTTAGATTTTTGGCATGAAACATCTTCTAATGGATGTCTACCAAGTTTGTTCAAATAAGAGCCCTGGGGTCAAAATTGGCCCCGCCCCAGGGGTCATTGTTTTTCCCTATATGAATATGGTAAAAACATAAAAATCTTCTTTGAAAAAACCTGAATAGCTAGAGTTTAGATATTAAGCATGAAACATCTTCTATTAAGTGTCTACAAAGATTGTTCAAATAAAAGCCCTGGGGTCAAAACTGGCCCTGCCCCAGGGGTGTCATTGTTTTTAAATATATGTGTAAAGAAAAAAATTAAAAAATCTTCTTTTAAAAAACCCAATGAGCTAGACCTTAGATGTTTAGCATGAAATCATAGAAACAAGATGAATTTAATCACATCTTACTGCGTACCTCTCACGGAATTTACCGAACATTTATCGAATATTTATATATTCTGTGCATTGACCGTATAATCAGTATTGAATTGACAGGTTAATAAAATCAAACAATATTTGTATAATACGGATATTTAAGTCATCCAGTTGTATGACTTACCATGTTGACTTGTATAAAGTATTATGTATTGTGTTTGAAATGGGAAGTTTCAAACTTTCTATTAAAAAAACTTTCAAAATGTTGATATAGGGCAGATAACAGTATTGATATACTCTTAACAAACTTGTGTCGTGCACGGTTTGGCAAGGCTCTGCTGGTAGCGAACGACCCTCATTATTGCCCATAGAAATCAAAGTGAGAAACATTATTATAATCTTGAGTGATTGATGATTTACTGGTACTCACTCGCATTCAGCAAGGCAGGCATTGGAATAGGTGTTACCATCCACGCCACAGACTGGTAAAACTATTGCTGGACAGTAACAAGGTCCTTTTGTCACTGCTTCATATGCCTCTGAAACATAAAGAGTGAATTTCATTTCTCTGATAACTGAACTGTGGTTGCATTAACACAAGCTGGTTATATACATAGATACGTGACAAAAACACGCATTTTTGGTAGCACATCATGCTCTGAAATCGAGTGTTTCAATAACTTTGTTAAAAAGCTGTAAGTCGGAAAAGTAATAAAATGCACATGAATAGCTTGTTTTCCTTAGTGGCTTAACTTAGTAGGTTTGTACAAATGAATAAATAAATTGTTTACCTGCAAAGACGACGATACAGAGCATTAGCATGGTCTGCGTAATTTTTCCGTTCATTGTTGAGTTTCGATATCCTTCATATATTTCATACAATTTCAAAACTTTGACAAAATCCCGAGTTTAGGACAATATTTATAGGCAAAGTCCTTCGATAAGACTTGCAACATGAAGTACACTAAAAACTTGAGAAGAAATAAAAACAATTTATGACTGTTAATGTTTTCTTTCAAGATTGTAACTATCACATGTGTTTATGTTTTAAGAAAGTTAAATAAGTTGTTTAATAGGAGAGAAAGAAAGAGAAAGAACAAAACTGAAATTCTTTAATAAAAAAAACTTCACTTACTTAACACTTTTCACAATGTTTTAATCCTAACATAATGCTCCATTGTTTACTTTCTTACATTGGCCATATAAAGATCTGACAAATGAAAGTGACCAAATCTTTGTAAAACTATCGTATCATATATTTTTTCCATAAATTATTTAATTCATAAAGATAAACATCAGAATTTCACTCAGAGGTAGAAGTATTTTCTTATTGATTGCCATGCAATGAAATGCAAGTAAACTTCTTCATTAAAAAAACTGACCACGTAGAAATATTCTACTCTCATGTCGAGTAAACAACGCGAAATCAAACAAATATTTGTATGAAGAATTATTTGACAGCAAACTGTTATTGTTAAATAATCGTAAGTGTTGATAATCATTGCATCAGATATACTATTGTTTGTAGTGATTTATATTGACATGGGGGGGGGAGCTAAATTGAAAATAAAAAGTTGAAAACATACTCTGTGATTGACCTATTTGCTCTTTCCCATAAGCACACATCTGGATCAGCGGAAATTCATATATATATATTTACCGATGATAAACTTTGAGATCCATATGGGGTTCACCCCCGTGGTTCTTCATTAATAAAATGAGTGCGGTAAAGGACTAACCAAATTGCCCGCCGCACTGTAAGTCATAAATTTGGAAGTTGGTTAGATAAAAATGGTTTGTAAACGTTTTAGCACTGAATAATTATTAGACCAAAATATGAACATTTCTTTAAATGGTGTTTGAATTCGCATAATAGCTGTGCTGTTCAGCAGTCAAAATGCAGACATTTTATCCGTTTTGTCTGCTGCGGAAGGGCCACGTGAATTAAAAAACAAATGAATGTTTTTTCAGTGTTACGCATTTGTTTAGTAAGATATTCATTTAATAACATTTTTTCGCCGGGCACTGGCCGAGCGTTGATCCGCCGGGCACTGGCCGAGCGTTGATCCGACCACTCTAATAGTATTGTTATATTATATGGCACAGTTGTTCCAGACATTTATGCAGTTTTGCAAATTTTTAGATACGTTATTATGCATTTTTAAGTTATGTAAATCGATACTTTTGATAGACATAATGTGACATTATGCTTAACATATGCCAAAACACGACAAAACGTAATTTAAATATCTTGCACTATCCTCAAAACATTCAAAATCTGTCATTTTGGCCAGTCGCTAGTAACGTTGATACATTTCAAATGACACTGAACAGTTAATGCAATTCCTAAGATTTGTTTCTTAGTCACTGAAATATATATCTTATACTTATAAAGAGGGAAATGTCCAGTCCAGTTCAAAACCTCACAGCCATGTTTCATACTTCTATGTTGCCAAAACAGTATTAACTTCCGTTACAGTAATTGTACTTTGTTAATCCCTTTCCGCAAAAGGTCAAGTGTTGCTAAGTCACATTTCCTGCCCGCTCCATAACACTTAAACCGCTGCAATGTTTTTAAGATAACTTGGCAGAAATGATCATCATTATGACACCATGTGAAGAGCACAACTTCGAGGTCAGGTCACCCTCAAAGGTCCAATGTTAAAGCATCTATTTTTCATATCCGGTCTATAACATATTGACAATTCAAAGGTTTTCAAATTTAATCCCCCTGCGCAAAGCGGGAAGGAATTGTAGGAATGGCCTGTCATGTACCCTCATTTTTGAGATTATAATTAGTGAGTCAAATTAATCTATCTTAATATTTTAAGTTATTACTGAAATGTGTTTACTTTTTTCCAGCATATGGACATCCTTATATAGCAATTAAGGATCTTTTAAAAAATTGTGTTTCACAAGGTAAACTGTCAGATGGTAGATAAGATTTCATAAAATTTTTATTTGATATGATGCTAGAGGATGAAGACGACAGCCAGGTTTGTTTTTCTTATATCCTTTAAACCTTTTTTTTTTTCAAACTTAAGACATAGCATTATTAAAAAATTCATTTGAAAACAAGGACCTGTTCACTGTAGTCAATAGAAATTCATAATTTCAAAATGTTGATATGAGGCAGATACCAGTATTGATAGACACGTCTTAACAGACTTCTGTCATGTTTCCAGAGTTTGATGAGTTAAATAGGAATGCAAAAGTAGGATAGTACTAATGGTTTCGTGTTGTGCTTGGGTGTGAAACATGAAAAAACTTTTAGTAAAAAAACATAAAAACTTGTAACAACTATAATAAATGTTAAAATGCAATCACAAAGATGTGAGTAGTTTATACATAAAAGAGATCGTAAAAAGAAGAAAGTTTCTACGTACATTTTGTGAGAAAATCATATAGAAGAAAATCACTTAATAGGAGAGATTTACCAGGGGCCAATATTCAAAATAAAAATTGCTGATAAGCATTTGCCCATAGCAACCCGTTGCTGGTCGCATCCTTTTTTGTACCCTAGTATTTTACAAAAAGAAACTAGGGGTGTGTATGTCTATTAAGAAATAAATATGAGCTCTGTTTCAATAAAGTAGATTTTTTGATGCTAAAGCATCATTAATCCCCGAAACGAAAAATGTTTGTTTATCAAAAATTTAAAGAAAAATCATTTAAAGGGTTATGAAAAAAAAAAAGTTTTTAACAATATTTAGTAACTTTTTATTTACAATAAAAAATATGTGAAACAAATTTGCTTAGAAAAATTGTCAAAAAACTGTTATTTTTTTAAATCAGCAAAAAATAACGTAACTTAAATTTCATCGTAAACTTAATTCATGCGAAATAAACAAGAGGTGATTTGAAAAATAATTAAAAAGTAAAGCATTAACATTAAGCTTGCCAAAGTGACTTGTGGGAAAATATGTTTAATTATTGTAAGAAAACGATGCAATTTCTCTATTGTACTTTTAAAGGTACTGACTACAAAATTATATAAACAAAACAATCTTTCTATCTCATATTTCCTATTTATTTATTTTTTTATTGAAAATAAATAAAACTGTAGGGAAAAGAAATCTTCAAACAATTATATAAAAACTGTAGCGCAAAAAAATATTCGAACAATTATACAGACATTGTTTTAGATATTTTGTTATAATATGTGGCCTTTAAAAAAGTTATAATTAGTTAACTACATCAAAATATATAATCCTAGTTATAAGTATGATATAGTTTTAGAGGTGTACCAGTATTCTGAAATAAATTCACGGAGGTCATTATCATATCTACCTGATCCCAGATTTTTTTCCAACCACAGATGTGACACATGACTTTTTTGAGTAATTATGTTGCCTTTTCTTTTTAGCTCACCTGAGCTTGCTCAGGGTGAGCTTTTAGGATCGGTGAATGTCCGTCGTCCGTCGTCCGTCGTCCGTCCGGCCGTCCACAATTACTTGTGAACACTCTAGCGGTCGCATTTTTGCCTCAATCATCATCAAACTTGGTCAGGATGCTTATCTAGTTGAAAGCTCGGATGAGTTCGAACATGGGTCATCTCGGATGAAAAACTAGGTCACAAGAGCTAAAAATAGAAAAACCTTGTGAACACTCTAGTGGTCACATTTTTGACCCAATCAATCATCAAACTTGGTCAGGATGTTTGTCTAGGTGATAGCTTTGGATTGAAGTTCGAACATGGGTCATCTCGGATGAAAAAGTAGGTCACAGGAGCTATAAATAGAAAAACCTTGTGAACAACTCTAGTGGTCACATTTTTGAACCAATCATCATCAAACTTGGTCAGAATGCTTGTCTAGTCAATTGCTTGGATGAGTTCGAACATGGGTATCTCTGATGAAAAACTAGGTCACAGGAGCTAAAAAATAGAAAAACCTTTGTGAACACTCTAGTGTCACATTTTTTGACCCAATCATCATCAAACTTTTGTCAGGATGCTTGTTTAGAATAATAGCTCGGATGAGTTCGAATAATGGGTCATCTCGGATGAAAAACTAAAGGTCACCCCGGAGCTATATAAATAGAAAAACCTTGTGAACACTCTAGTGGTCACATTTTTTGCATCAATCATCATCAAACTTAGGTCAGGATGCTTATCTAGTTGATAGCTTGGATGAGTTCGAACATGGGTCATCTCGGATGAAAAAGTAGGTCACCAGAGCTAAAAATAGAAAAACCTTGTTAACCACTTTAGCGGTCACATTTTTTGCATCAATCATCATCAAACTTGATCAAGAATGCTTGTCTAGGTGATAGCTCGGATGAGTTCGAACATGGGTCATCTCGGATGAAAAACTAGGTCACAGGAGCTAAAAATAGAAAAACCTTGTTAACACTCTAGTGGTCACAATTTTGACTCAAATTGTCATCAAACTTGGTCAGGAAACTTGTCTAGGTCAATTGCTGGGAATAAATCGAAATGGACATTTCGGGATGAAAAACTAGGTCACAGGAGCTAAAAATAGAAAAAATCTTGTTAACACTCTAGTGGCTACTGTTGTGATCCAAATATTCTGTTTAATTGGTCTGAAAAATTTGTTTTTGATGATTTCTAAGTCAAGATCGAACATGGTCATCTTGGATGAAAAACTAGGTCACACCGCCCAAATATGGAAAAACCTTGTTAACATTCTAGTGGTCACATTTTCGACTCAATTATCATCAAAACTTGGTCAGGATGTTTGTCTAGGTAATTGCTTGGATGAGTTCGAAATCGCATGTGAAACTAGGTCAACCCGGAGCTAAAAATAGAAAAATCTTGTTAACACTCTTGTTGCTACTGTTTTGATCCAAGTATCCTGGAAATTGGTCTGAAAGTTTGTTTTGCATGATTTCTAGGTCAAGTTTGAATATGTGTCACCTGGGTAAAAAACTAGGTCGCACTGCTCAAAATATGGATAATCCTTGTTACACACTGTAGTGGTCACATTTTTGACTCACCTGTCATGAGACTTGGTCAGAATGCTTGTCTAGGGTAATTGTTTGGATGAAGTTTGATATTTCAGGTTGAGCGATCTAGGCCATCATGGCCCTGCTTGTTTATATTGGCTGCTGTAAACATGTTTAACTGGGGATTTTGGTCAAACTTTTTAAATAAAATTAAATTTTATCCCAAACATTTTCAAAATATCACCTGTTGGTCAAACACCATTTTAACAGTCAATCTTTTGAAAAATTTAAAAGTCAATTCAGCTTCAAAATTGACTATGAAAAATATGAGCATAAATGTCCACTTTAACTTGCTCAATACTTAAAACTGAACATGAACTAAGCATAAATTTTTTAAATTATATTTATTTAACAACACTCAGTTTTGGGTCTTAAGCATACATTTAACAATGGCTGAAAATATAATAGATCTACCCTTGAATCATAAAACATATTTACATTGACAGGGGTGAAAAAAAGGGAAAATGAAAATGAAACAAAACTGAGCAATTAGCAGGCATATTTTCACATAAAAAATGATAATTCATAGAACACATGTAGCGAGTTGTTTCAAGATTGATATAATATAAAAATTAAAGTACATGTAGATGTTTAGCAAAAAATTAAACCCTTTATAAACATCACACTTATCTTATATATAAAATATATTCAATACTATTTTAGAAAATAGTTTTGTATTTTTTTTCTTCATTTTGAATATTACAAAAAATATATTGTTCAAATTAAATTCTGATCTTTAAAACTTTGCCCCAGGAACATCATCTTATGTTAACTTTACAGAAAATGCTATCATTGTTTATATGTTGTTTGTACTACCTTCTAAGATTGTGTGTATACGTAGTCCACACAGCAGTTATCAGTGACGTGGTGGTAAATCTCTCCTATTACATACAAATAATATGTTTGAGATGCCATTTGAGTACAAACTATTGTTTTCTACTCATTTTACACGGTCGTCACAAGAATGCTCCTTATTACAATATGCATTGGACAGGTATTTGTACTATCAATGTTATTCGATGTCGGACATTCTAGAAATACTAAATGCTTGTACCATAGGATATTTTTTGCTCGAGATAAAACGATGATATAATATGCCTGTCGCCGTTTTCATAAACTGTGACTGGGAATGAAATTGGTTAACAAAAAATTTTGGGCATCAAATGTTTGTCGGCCAGCTTGTCAAGCGAAAGAAAACGTTATTTTTTCAATACCCCTGGAACATTTGTCCAATTTCCCCCTTTCAGAGGTCGTTCTGTCTCATACTAGTCCCAAATACGTAATGTATTATACAAAAAGTCGTGTTAGAAAACAATTAAGTAAGTCATTCGCTGGTCGGAAAAGAAAACCTGTATTTTTTAAATGACAACGCTCCTACATACAAAGGATTTACACAAGAGATGATTTTAAAGGATTGAAATACAAAATTGTAATAAAGGTTTTTTTTTTAAATTTATTGACCATATTGCATTATAATTAACTCATTTTCGTATTTCAGTTAGTTTAGGTCAAAAGAACCAGCAATGCTTTGGCGATGTAGATATATATAAAAAAATTAAAATGTGTATGCAATTGAACTGTCTTTTAAGAAGGAATATAAAAGTTCAAAATACTTAAGCAGCAATCACGTAATAAAGTCTGGTCCCCTGCCTACAATTATTGTAAGGGGAAGGAACTGTATACTATCACGTGATATATTTTAGAAGTTAGATTGGCATCTCTTAAAATGAAAAGCGAAAGAATAATGAATGTAATCGTTGTGTGGCCCGATGTTATTATTCACAATTATTTTGTCATGTACATGTAGAAATCGAGACGACTGCAGGGATAAAACTATCTAATTAAAAAGGGGAGATAAAGCAGTTTAATGTAATGGGACGACGAAAATATCAGGTGAAATGTTTTATTGATGTCCGCACCTACGTTATTTACCTTATAGAAAATCACAAGACAAAAACATTTTTATGAAGATCCTTTATTTAAAAGTACAGAAACGAAACTAAAATATGATTTACAAGCAATTCAAGATTATATTTCTGCATTTAACTGTCAACCATTTCAAGAAAACCTATTGAAAACCTTTCTAAAATTATTGTGATCTACCACAACTTTAGTTGGTATATTTGAGAGCAAAATCAGTATTGTCACTTTTGATTAAAATCATAAGAGGCAAGAAGAAATTATAGACAAGTGTAAGGAAAAAGTTCAAAAAGTCACTCGTTCTTCATCAAGCAGTTGTAGTTGGACAGGCACCCTGTGATACAACAGTAACTCCTCTGAAAATAAAATTAAAAAGTATTTATTTAGATTTTTAAACCTTAATCTAAAACCCAATCCTTATTTTTTCGTTTGGTTTTACGTCGCATCAACAAAGTTAAGGTCATACGGCGACTTTCAAGCTTTTCTGATGGAGGAAGGCCTAAGCTTGGCCAAGTGGATAATATTTTGGACCAGAAAAGTCAGGGTTGCTGACCGCGTGGTTTCAAACTTTGTCAGGTGCAAGCAGTTGATTCCGTGAGCAATAAAATACACTTATTGCTTAGTACTGGTTGTTTCCAGGAACGGATTCGATGATTCGAGAATGTTTCAATAAGCTTATAATTTTTAACACAATCGAACTAAAATAAATTAATACAAACTAACAGGCACACGGGTAGAACCCCCGACGTTCTATTAGCTATCTGGATAGTTTCCGCACATGAAAGAATCCAATTTTTAACTTTAGACAGTGTATGAATTCATATGTCTTAAAGACTTTTATTTACTAATATTATGTTCAGTTATTAATTATGATGAAAACGATTTTGAGATGAAATGGGCAATAAAGAGGCGCTTGAATGAGTGTAGAATAAAATCATATTATGCGAGCCCCTGGCGTTCAACAATGTATTATTAAATCTATAAAAATAAGCTATTCTATTTATCATAAATCTTAAATGAGAACGGTTTGTAGCTGGGAGAGTCAATTTTCATTGACGCACCTTTAGTGTAATGACTCTTCCAGATAGATGAGAAAAAAGAAGCAAAAAAACAACATTCTGTTAAGAATTATTTACAAATTTACAATGTATTGTAAAGAAACCATTGGCTGTTTGGCCAAATCACGAAAGTTAGGTCCGTGGTCAAATATAAAATATATTTGGTTTATATGGTATGGCAGTATCAACTTTAAAATCATTGTTATTATTCGAATTTCAATCTACTTGATAAAAGCTGAAAACCACACAAAAAGAAGAACAATGAACGCGTTACTTACGCGCACGTGGCCAGACACTCATTCATGTACGTTTTTCCATCATCGCCACAAACTGGCAAATCTATTTTAGGACATTTACACAATGTCTCCTCGGCCACTGAAAATACAAATTAAAAATATTTCTAGATTTTTGTTCTCTTTATTAATCAATATTTGCTAGCTAAATGCACGGCGCTTTTCACATGCTTTATTTTATCTTAAATAGAAAATAGACAGTAAAAATGTAACTATTTTCTATTTGTTACCCACAAATGTATTTATTTACTTGATTATTGTAATGTCTGTTGTTGACAAAATTAAGGAATATTGTATTGTAAATTGTATTGTTATCAAACTGTTACTTATGTAAGTTTTTGTGCTTTTAATGTATACTAGCAATGTGAAGGTAATATTTTAATGTACAGTTTTGTTTGCCTTTTTTCCGTTTACCAAAAATTATTCTTTAAAATAAAAAACGCATCACCATGCGCATATTTTTTTATAGAAGAGTTTATATATATATAAAAAAAAGATTTCTACTCATATTTATATTCATATTTTGAATTCAATTCTGTTTATATGAGAACGCATGTGCCACCAGAAACAAATATTAATATGTCCTGAAATATTTAAATCAAAATCATATTTTAAGTGGTTTGGAAACTTTGATTTGCTTTGAAAACCACATTTACAACGGCAATACTAATATTACCATGGAGTGATTGGTAAATGACATTAGTCATCTTTGGTGTATTATATTGCCATTTTTTGTTGTAATTTTACATGTACAATATCTGAAAGACTTTGTTTCATTTTGAAAGCAAAAGTTATTTTAGACTTACTAATGTAGCTGCATTGAAATGCATTATTTCAGATGTGCACTTTTTTGCTATATTTCATATTGAAGGAGACACTATGAATAAATTGTTTATTTATCGCAGTTGTATTGCTTAATAAATTTGTTAATTTTAATTATAAAACCATTCAACTATAGTATCCTACTAAACATTAGTCTTTCCTACGAATAAATAAATGGTGATTATATGAGCCGCGTCATGACAAAACCAACAAAGTGCGTTTATGAACATCATGGATCCAGATCAGACTGTACATCCACGCAGTCTGATCAGGATCCATGGTGTTTGCTATCAGTTTCTCTACTTGTAATAGGGTTTGTAAGCAAACAGCATGGATCCTGATCAGACTGTATAATTGCGCCGGCTGATCTGGATCCATGCTGGGCGCAAACACCATTATGTTGTTTTTTTCATGGCGCGGCTCATATGTTGAATGATAACATTGTTGATAATTGATATATATTGAATAGATTTGTATATCATTTTTCATCGATTAAAAACATATGTAATAAGTAAGTCAAAGTCAATTATCTATTCTGAAAATATAAGAGATTAAACAATATTTGTCAAAGATTTGAATACAATATAAGTATTACATACCAGCAAATGCCATAAGGCCCAACACTACCAGCATGAGAACAACTTTTCCGTTCATGGTTGAATAGTTTTTGACTTCCTCCGTATTGTATAACTGGAACTTGGATAAAGTCTCTGACAGACGAGCGTATTTATAGACAGGGCAATTTTGCACACGTCTTTTTATTAGCTTTTATGATTACCACGGACAGTCACCATGCGAAATATTGAAACAGTGAAGGAGGAATAAAAAGATGTAAAAAGAAAGTTTATGTTTTCTGCATAAAAATTAGTCTGCTTTTGAAATTTTTGAAGTGGTTATCATAACTGGCATACTTTTTGTAGTGCTCCAGTTTACTGTCCTTATCTTTTATTGCTTTATTTCACTTTTTACACTGACTTGATTTTATACAATAAATAGTATATTACCAACACAAAAAAATCAATGAACAATGGAACAACACTTGAATTTTAAGTGATTATCATTATGAGAAATTATAGTCATCTGAGTGGGGTTTAAACCCACTATCCCTAGACCCAGAGGCAGACATCTTGGTTTCTTGTCCGATATATTTACTGAGAGGTAGTAACTTTGGTTCTAATCAATATTCCTGAGGGGAGAAGGAGCCACTAGTTGGATCCACTGGTTAGGAGTTAGACAAATTAGCCGTAATATATACAATAATACAATTACAATTTTTTAAATGAACTCTAGTTAAAAAAAAGTACCAACTGTATAAAACTCTAGTTCAAAAATAGTACTTTATTTCTTCTGTAATAAATGGTTTCTGTTTAGTTATAAAACAGTTTCCTATAACGATGTGAAGAAAGAATATGACATTCATTACATTTATATCTTCAGTTTTTAACTCATCAATGTTCTAGTATTTTTATTTGATTCTTTCTTTGGGCAAGATTTTCCATATACATTAACAGGCATACTTGTCTTCTTCGAGTTTGAACCCACTTGATGGAAAGTGCTGTAAGATATAGTCCCGACCTATCAGGGTTTTTCAAAATCTTTCCCAAAAATATAAACAAATTGTGCAAAATATTTGCTATTTCGTTCATGTAATGATCAACATTTGAATGTGGTAAAGAAATGTTATACCTTGATCCAATAAATTGTGAACCTAAAACTACAGTTTTATGGCAATAAAAATATGCTTTCAAATATAAGAACTATTTTATGACAGCTATAATATGTGCTATGAATATTAATTCTTAGTAGCCTACTTTAATAAAATTTTGAAGTTTTCAATAAAGTAAACCATATGGCGATTTTATGTAATGTTGCCCAATAAGAAACTTTCGTCGATTTAATTGCCATCATAACAAGGCTTACAATGTTATGCTTTTAGAATCATTTTTTAAGTATCTAGGTTTTTTTTCTTCAAGTATTTGGCTGCGCTCATTTAACGGGGACCATGCTTAATTCGGAAGCATTTAGTCAGACCAGTCTGCAAACAGTCTGCAAAACCGTGCAGTCAAACTAGGCACTAAACTATTAGCTGAATAACTTCAAATCCCCACAATTGATAATGGACTGTTCCAAATTCACCGTCGGGAAAATCCATTGCAAAATTACTGCAAGTAATGGTTAACAAATTATTGAAAATTATATAACTGATCACAAACGACACGGACATGCATTACGTAAACTTGAATTATTGAATTGAAGCGTCAAGTACCACGTGACCATGCTGTTCAAAGAAGAATGGCATAAGATTCAAATTTAACCAAAACATTTGTTTGCATACCCCAGTCTAGTTTGCATGTGTCATAAAGTTTAAAAAAAAACAACTGGATTTTGCTATCAAACATCGAGAGCTTATTTTATCCCCATTTGAAATTAGTATTAGATAAATAATCAAAAATATTGTTTAATAAAAATGATAATAATAATAATAATAATAATAATAATAATAATAATAAAGACTTTATTTAACGAGAGAACTCATTTGAACAAACATATCAATCTTCCATGAGGCCCTCAACAAGGAACAATATAAATTTAACATATTCAAACTGTTAAAATACGTAAATGTAAAAACATACAGGAGATTATCAATTTGTATACACCAATGCGTGATAAAACCTCAAGTATAAGGTTTTAAAATGGTTAACAGATGTAGCAGACTTCATATAATAAGGAAGGCCGTTCCAAATACAAGATCCAGAATAAACAAAAGACTTACGAAATTGTTCAGAATTTGGTCTAGGGGTATAAAGTTGAAAATCAGATGATGAACGCAAAATGCGAGTATGAACATCTGATGATAAAATGAAATTATTCAATAAATAGGAAGGCGACTGATTATTCATTATTTTAAACATCATAATAGCTTTTTGGAAAACAACCCTCTGTGAAAGCATGATTTTCCTGATGAAAACCTATTTAACTCGAAACTAGTAGAACATGCTCCAGTTGTCTTGATTTTTACTTTATTAATAAAGTATTGGAACTGTTTGACATGTCTGTTCATTACATGTCACAGTCGATTTTACTTTTAATATAGTAATGAGATCATAGTAACTTTGCAGCTATCTTCACCAAAATTAACAAAAGTTTTATTTACTGAGGTTAGTACCTCTCTCTTTTTTAAGCATACTGCATGCTAAGTGTTGAACTCTTATATAATTGGACGCTACGCTTTCCTATCTTGATTAAGTGGAATAATTGCAACGGACATTTTTTTTGAAGTCTTTGGGTCTTGTTTTTATTTTCGACATCTCTCTTGCTTCGCCTGGTCATGGTAGTAAATATTCTTGTTACTTTGCCTTCATTATCAGAATTGAGAGCTTTTGTTATAGTCATTGTGCTATTATATATTTACATTATCATATCTGTGTTTTAGGACAGTTGGTGTAATATAACATCTACGAACCAGCCTCGACCCCGAATCCTAAGCTTACCAGTATTGGTGTCGTATAAGGAAAATGGTCGAAAACACAGTAGATCGCTGACCCATGACATTTAGATTAAGAAGCACTAGTCCATCTTTCCTAAGCGGTTTCCTTTTCAGCTACATATAAGTGTAGTTGCTAGACTTTAAACCAATCTCTTTGATATGGAAGTTTTATTTATTTGTTGATCATATAGATTAAACATGTATAAAATCTAAAAGAGTTTTAATTTTGGCGATTTTCGTGAATGAGTGCTTCGCATGATTTAATTCAACTTTTATGGGAAATGTGACGACAATCTGTGTGATATGTCATACTTTGTAACAAAATGATCACTTATACATGACGGACATTTAAGCTTAAAACGCAAAATGTTGATGTTTGTTAGCCTACAGAATATTCTCGTTTCTGTGAAAATTGTTCTTCCTATCTTGGATTTAGAGAGTAAGTGTACCATATAATTACAGCAGGGTCTAGCTATCTAACAATACGAAAACTTTGATATAATCGCATATAGTTTAATATGTTATTCGTCACATTAAAGCATATGTGAAGGGTAAAGCTTTCAGAAAAAAGTTCCATAAATTTGAGCCGCTTTCAATGCAAAACCAACCATAACTTTGAGTATTGGAAAACAAAAGGATGAGACTGTCTGTTTCCTCTCGAAGTCATTCTGCAGGGAATCCAGTTTTCTTAGCTATCGGTTTCTCTATTTGTTATAGGGTTTGTAAGCGAACAGCATGGATCCTGATAAGACTGAGCCGATGCGCAGGCTGGTCTGGATCCATGTTGATCGCAAACCCACTGTGTTGGTTTTGTCATGACACGACTCATTTTTCTGTGTCTTGTCACAGAAAGCTTTCCATAATTTGCAATTTGATTACAAATGTACTTTTAAAGTCGATAGCTTTCAGATGTATTGGAAGAACATATAATGTATGAAATGGCGTGTATGTCTCTCATATGTCGGGATAAAGTGACATTCTCCCAAAGACAAAGGTAGACACTGCAGTTTTCTTTATTGCTATACACCCTACTAATGTTTCTAAGCAAGTGTTACATGAATGTAGTGAAACGGCAGTTACGCATTTGCATTTTTTTCATATTAAAGAAGGACCAACAAAACAACAAGATAGGTTTTTATAAGATATTTTATTTTTATTGTACAGAACAACAAAGCAAAAGATAATATTCTAGCAAAGTTGTTTAGGACTACATTGGCTAAAGATTTCTATAAATTTGCATTACAGTAATCCAAATCCGGCACACATTTTAATTTATGTAGATATTGAATTACAAAGTTTGTATTTTTCCAAATCTGGCACACATTTTATGTAAATATTGAATTATAGTAAAGGTTTGTATTTTGTATTTGTATTTGACTTATAGAAGAAAAGAAAATCAACTCCGTTGTAGAAGAAAAGAAAATCAAGTCTGCAGTAAGGAAGCAGTTTCACAAGTTCATTGTGAAAGTTTGGTTGTTTTTGTTGTTGCTTCGCACGCACCCTCTTTTGCAACAACAACATTCCTGAAAGTAAGACATTTTGAAAGATTATGTTGTTGTTTGTACTATAATTTCAACATTTACAGTCACAAATATTTACTTGAAAACATATTAAAATTTAGAGCACCAGGTACATAAACAACCTCGCTTTATTCATATTTGCAGAATATCTATTTTGTTATTGATTCTAATATTTTCTAACTATATGATCACCTTAATTGTTTGATGTTGAAACAATTTGAAGATTTGTAACAATAATATAGAAATGTCAAAAAGAATGTACTCTCGAAATCAATAATTTAAAATGCAACAATTTTATATTTTCAGCATTTCTTCTTTTCTTGTTTTTATTTTTTTTATTAGATTAGAATTTAAGCATGGATAACTTACTTGCATCCGGCTGTACATGCGTTAGAATAGGTGTTGCCATCCACGCCACAGACTGGAGCGTATATTGTTGCACAGATGCACGGTTCCTCGGCCGCTAAAAAAAGGAAAGTAAAATTTCATATAACATAACAACTCTTTTATTTTTTAACCAAGCTTTACTTACCAAGTTGTTTAAAGCGACCTAATTAATTGTACTGGAACGGAAAGTGTGTAGTAGAGTGCAGATAGGAAACTGAAAAAAATTACCCGGGTTCAGATCATTTGCATAGTGCATATATCAGCATTCTTTAAAATGTATATAAAAACTTCTATGAATAAGTTAATGCAACATTGCATTCACGATTTAAAGAGACACATATAAACTTTCATTTGTTATATACTATATGCTCGTATATATCGCCATACATAGCTTACTGCAAAGTAATTTGTGAATAGCATTTTCCTGTTACCAGTTTTGTATTAAATGCACTTTTATTTATTTTGTTTTATCATTTGAGCCGTGTCACGACAAAACCAACATAATGGGTATGCGACCAGCATGGATCCAGACCAGCCTGCGCATCCGCGCAGTCTGATCAGGATCCATGCTGTTCGCTTTCCAACCCTTTAACAAGTCGAGTAATTGATAGCAAACAGCATGGATCCTGATCAGACTGCGCGGATGCACAGGCTGGTCTGGATCCATGCTGGTCACAAACCAATTATGTTTGTTTTGTCGTGACACGGCTCATTTTTATTTTCACGGATAGAATCAACGCAATGAACAATATCTTTTACACAGCTAGTAAAATTTTGCTTCTCTTTTAATTTTTGTTGAGTGTATGTTTAATTTTGATCAATTATCACTCTTTTATTTTATGAGTTGGATTTTATTTTTTTGAATCGTTATTCAAGTAAATTATTATTTGAAACTATTATAATAAACATTAAACTTCCTGAAAACCTACCATAAATCTCGGTTATAATTGCCACATCTAACTAATTGCATCCTCTTTCATATCAAAACATTGTTAGAAATTAATACATAATCTTTATATCAAAATATTTTATATTTATTAATTTTTAAATATCAATTTACCGAATGAAAAAAATAAGAACAAAAATTCAAATAAGACTCACAATAAAGACAAAATAAGTACTATTACATACCAGCAAATGCCATAAGGCCCAACACTACGAGCATCAGAACAATTTTTCCGTTCATGGTTGAATAGTTTACTTTCAATTCTCGTCGACAATAGCTGGAACTTTGATAAAGTCTCCGACAGACCAGAATATTTATAGAGCTAGCAAATGTTTTGCACACGTCTTTGATCGAATTTTATGACAGCCTCCATATATAGCAAAAATACATAAAACAGTCTAGGGGAAATCAAAGTTTGTAAAATGTTTTTTTGAGTCCTTTTTGAAAAATGAAACTTAACTTGAGATCTGTTTGAAGTGGCAATGATATTTCGAAATAGGCCTATATTTCATACTTTGATATTTTCTATATTTTACTATTTGTGCTGACTTGCTTTTGCAGACCTGTTTCTGCAATCATTTATGAAAGCTGAAATAAGTAAAGCCACATGACAGAAGATGATCGTTATCAAAGAGGTGTTAGAAACCGTAAGCCTTATAGGTTAATATAGGCAAATATTCTGACCACCCTGGAATTATACTCCTTATTTACCGAACACACCGAAATAGGCCTGATTCTGAAAATTGACCTTACAATGCTAAATTAATGGTTCATATATATTTTCCATTGTGAAAGAAGGTTTTGGTTTATTATGCTTAGTTTTATAAACAACGACATTTGTTCAGTTTTTCACATACAAGGCGGACTTAAATCGCATTTCAAGACTTTTAGTATTGATATTTATATAATTTAATGAATACGGACACAGTGGCAAACAGTTACAGGACGTGTCGAAAATTTTGTTCTATATTACTAGGATTATTGACTAAGATAATAAATAAGATTTTGTCTAAATATGATTGCACATGCAACTTTCTTTCTGAAAACAACAAGACAAACAAAACCAAACAAGCATTTAATTTTGTATTGACTGGAAAAGATACAGAATAATATATTATGTTATTATATGTAAACCATTTATATATTTTTCCATATCATTTAAAAGAATGCGAGCTCCATTGCATTCGTTTCTAGACTGGTCATTGCCTTAGCTGGTGAAATTATTTTCACTTTGCTACCTCATCACAGCTTAAAAATTGAGCCGCGTCGTGACAAAACCAACATAGTGCGTTTGCGACCAGCTTGGATCCAGACCAGCCTGCGCATCCACGAAGTCTGATCAGGATCCATACTGTTCGCTATCAGTTTCTCTACTTGTTATAGAGTTGTTTAGCGAACAGCATGGATCCTGATCAGACTGGTCTGGATCCATGCTGGTCGCAAACCCATTATGTTGGTTTTGTCGTGACGCGGCTCAAATGTACTTTGTATAGTCCTCGAGTTAATGCAATCGTATCAAAGTCCTTTTTGGTCAGTAACGGCGTTCTCGACATTTATACGTGTTGTAACATTGTTCTGGTTGTTTGCGATCACTGGTTTCAATACTTTATTGTGTTGAAAATTGATTACTGCTTAAGTCGGTGCTGGGGGGGGGGGTCAATTATCTGTCATGGTCTCATGGGCGGACTCAATTAAACTGAGTCTGCATTTGTTTCTTATTAATTTGTTTGTAGTACTTACAGGGGATCTCCTCTATTCAAGCTAGATCTTTGCAGGTCAGTTGCACTTTATAAACTTGAATAATATGATTCCGTAGATCCATATTGTTTTAGAATTTAAAAGGAGCCTCTTTGTACTTTGTTGCTTAAACGTTTAACTAAATTTTCTCTAATATAGATCTGTAAGTTATTGATAATGCTCTGTAAAAGAGAACACATGATATGAGCTGAAATTTCGCAAGCTCGTTCATTTTTCGTACGACGTGAACAACACTCGAATGTTGTAAAGATATGTCATACATTGGAACGACTCAATAAATTATATCTAAAACTACTGTTTTATTACAATAAAAATATGCCTTTCTAAAACAAAGAGAACTATTTTATTACAATGATGGTATGTGTTATGAATATTAATGAGTTTTGTGAAAGTAAACATAGCCTACTTAAATCAGGTCCGATTTTAATGACATTAGCAGACTGATACTAAAAATATGATAAAATGTGTGTTTATGTAATACTAACCAATGAGGAACGAGCACTGATTTAATAACCACAATAACGAAGCATAAAATATGTGTAGGGTTCGGGTAAGGGCTTGCACTTAATACCACGTGAACTAAAATCTGGGATTTTTTGTTTTTTATTTTATTATCACATTTTCTTTTCATAAAATTGTTTTTTATTTATCTATTTATTTTTTATTTTTTTTTTTTTGGTTTTTCAATACACTTAGGTTATTTCCATTTGTCAGTTGTATAAACATTTGAAAACATTGGCTGTCGATTTTAATGTTTAAAATTAACTTTTTTTATTATCACTTATATTATCATTTTGTTGTTGTTTAAAACTAAGTTCACGTACCGACACACGACAGGTTCGTTTTGAAACACATACATTTTAAAGTGTTCTATTTTTCAACATTAATAACCCTATACAAGAAATTATTATGTCATTGTTGCGCAATCATTTTTTAATATTAATAAAACTCCATTGATTACTAGAATTCTGTCAATTCTAACACAAGTATTTTACATCATGAATTTGTTTTGTTGTTTTTCTCCGTATTTTCAGTGCTATTTAGTATTTCCCTCTGTATACGTGTTGTAAATCCGATTTATTTTTCCAACAAAACGTTTATATCTATAAACTTTCATTTCAAAATTCGTTTTGATCCGACTTTTTTTTGTTTATGTATTTCTTTGAAATCTAAAAGGACATTCAGTATATATATTTTACTTTTTTCTAAAGCAAAGGTTTACTAGTAACCGAAATAAACAAATCTTTCAAAAGAGATTTAAGAAACAAAAACAATGATGTTTCCTTTTTTATTTCCGTAGGTTTATCTAGTCACACTTGTTTTTCTTGTCCAAGTTTGGATCATTTTCGCAAAAGAAAATGAAAAGGTTAAGAAAATATGAGCAAAATTCAGTCATCTGACCTTGACGGTGAAGGTCATTTAAATGTCAAGGTCATATCTAAATTATTGAACATGGCCGTTTGGTCACAATTATAGTTTTGTCCACGAATGAATCAAATCAGTATATAAATAACAAAATTATTATTGTTTTTATTATTATTATCATCATTATCATATTATTATTTGATGTTACAGTCAAAAGTTGATATTCCCTCTCATCACGTGAGAGAATAAATTTTGTATTTTCCTTTGCAACACTTTCTTTTCTAATACTTTTAGTAATTGTTCGGTCATAAATCGACACTGTAATGCTTCAAGTCTTTGTTGTCAGGGGTTTTATTGACATCTCTGGGAAACATAACAACATCCTATTACAGTTTGATTATTTGACGTGTAGTAATCCTTTGAAAGGGGACTTGTTATGTCTGGAAATAGTATTGACGACCGGACATCTTCCTGTACTGAAAGTATTACCTAGTGGAGAATCAATCACGCGGTAAGATATTATGTTGCTGGAATTTATTATTGTACTTTTCATCCGGCTTACTTATACTGATACAAAGTCTATCAGTATTGTTTGTTATATTTCAATTTGAAATGTAGGGACAGTGTGGAATAAGTTGTGATATGTGTTGTTTATATTGTGGAGTCTTCACAGCAATGCTGTACTGGTAAATACGCAATCATTTCCCCATGTTGCGGGTTTCAGAAAACATCAGATATATCAAATAATAAAGAAATACAAACGTTTGAAAATGAGGCAAGCAAACGTGCTACAAGACATTGTTGTACGGGTTTTGTACGCCATCGTAACAATCTTTCCAGAAAAATATAATTACATAGAGGTAACATTCATATGATCAACGTTGACAATGAAATAATCTTAGGGATTACAGGTTTTGTCTTTAATACACTGAGGTAAGATTTAAGTGATAATTTGTTGACAAGTATGATCAGGATATAGATAAAGATTTAAGTATAGATAACGAAGTGATATTTTCACCAGGATTATAATGAAGTTTAAGAAGACCTCGATAAAATGGGGGATGAAGCAGAGACAGAAGGTGATATTACCGATGTTAAAGTACGGTTGTATGTTCTGTATGGACATTATGAAGAGACGAAACCAATCTAAACAGAGAAAACATAAGCATAAGTGCAAAAAGGTAGGTAGAATTAGAATTAAATAGAAATGTTGCTTTTATGAGATGATGCTGTCTATTAAAGAGAAAGTAAATCGAGGAGTGATTTTTTAAAGGTTTGATTCTGGTTAATGATATGGCAAACATACATTTTATTAACAGATTTTTCGATAATAAATTAGCATCGGTATTTAGATACTTGGCTTCAACTTAATGTTAATTGGTGTAATATTGATAAAAATGATTTATAGAAAATACTTGTTTTTGCTTTCTTTATTTATATCTATATATTTTGCCATTAGAATTAAAATCAGTTCTTGATTTGCACAGAAATAATTTGTTTTGTTTTTTTAGTGTCAAAAAAAAAGAACAAAAAACTCCGCCGATTCCAATTGCTTTATTTATACTAAACAAACATATTAACTGTATATTGACCAATATGTCAAATGTAAATGAAACTTTTAAAAAGTAAATATATCTTGATATGAAAACAAAAACATTAATAAATATTTCACTAAACAAAATATGTAACAAAAGCTATAATATACAATATACTCAAAGACATTTGAATAAATGCACAAAGTAAAACAAACAAACATACTAAGCAAACAGAAGTTGAAATACCAACTTTAAAGCAACAATTACTACATTATGTTTAATGAATGTATGTCACACATAATGAATGTATGTCAAACATAAACAATAAGTTCAGTCATATATTCTGTATGTTTATAATTTAAAGTTTGGTGCTATGACCTGGCCAGTCATATAGTGGAGGTACATATTCCTCATACTCTATGTTATATTGATGGGACTCTATAAATTGTCTCTTGTCTGCGGGCTCGGGGAAATGGTACGCCAGATTCTGTTTATAAGCGTATTCAGCAAGGAAAACAGCAATGTCCGTGGATACCTTCCTAATATCCGCTAATGGTGGGTAAACTCGACCTTCTGCTAGATTTTCCTTGGAAACCAGGTTCGCAAGAGCCTGAATTGTATAGAAATAGTTAACAATTAAATATGCATCAGAGTCGTATTTGATAGAAGTGAGCATATGTTATTTTTTGAACAGTAATAAATTTTAGGTTTATCTAACTCCCATCTCCATTTACCACAAGAAAAATGTTTGATATAAGAAAAGTAACCTGCTGAATTCATAGAATTGTCCCTGCTTTAAATTAGGAAATCTTACTGATTAGAAAATCAAATATATTTAATGTCATAAAAAAATGATAAGCTACCAGCAGACCAACAGTAAACCGCGGGCTTATGCAGGTTGGCCAGGCTCTATACTGGTAGGAAAGTCTAATAAGTTTCGATTCTAGCATGTTAAATTTCATGTCGGTATTGTGATGAAAGAAAATGTTAGAAGATTTTGTTACCTTGGCTGATTCTAGGAAAATACATTCAGGAATTGTTCTGATATCACAAGCAATAGTTGCGAGACCTACTGCAGGGAACACATACGCATTATTACCCTGTCCTGGGTAGAACGTCTTCCCGTCCAATGTCACCGGACGGAATGGACTTCCGCTAGCAAACACACACTTTCCCTACAACAATATTGACCAAATAAGATTTAGCTTATTTGTAAATGAACACAAAGAATTTTGTATAAAGTCACAGCCATAATCGCCGAGATATTGTCTCAATATAAAATAATTGGATTTGTCGTGTACAACTTATCTATGGCTAATTGGCAAACTTTGTTTTATAAGTAATATCAAACGAAATTCCTGAATTTGAAAACATATTCATTTCATCTGAATGCACTACCATTTGTCAATATATTGAAACGTTTCTAAACACGAGGGGATATGAAAGATTTCAGGATTTACTTAATGAAATATGACATGAATGGATGAAGACTTACATTCGTGGCTTTATACGCTTGTTCAGCTGTACATTCGGCTTTACTCGTCGGATTACTGAGTGCAAATATGATAGGGTGTTCGTTAAATTCCGCCATACTTCGTAAAATAGTCTCCGTGAATGCTCCTGGCTGGGCAGCAGCACCTATTGATATCAAAGAAAAAGAAATACAGGCTTAGAGGTAAAATTGAAACTTAAATACAGTATAAAATTTATGAAAGAAAATTAGGAAAGGAACAACTTAAAATGAGCTAGTTATTGATAAAGGGACTGTAAATAGTGAATGTCTACATAATTTCAAATAGTTCTCTCTTTGAGCCTAAAGCACGAATAAGTAATTACAACTGATCTTGATCACCTTACCAATAATAGCTGTAGGTTTGATGGTCTTTATGACATCCTCCAGCTTGTCGATTGGTGCATGTTTTTGTGCGAACGGTATCTTCTGTCCCGAGACACCACCTGCTGGCCGATCCTTGACGATAAGTCCGCGAGAGTCAACCATCCAGATCTTACTATAGGCTTCACTTTCACTAGCACCTTCCTCTAATAAAGCCATTACTAGAAGCTTAGCTATTCCGATTGATGCCTGCAGTGTTAATCACATTTCTATAACATGGCAGCGTTCTGGGTGAAATAATAACTAGACTAAGAGAACGAAATATGGTCCTAAGGTGATAAACTTACCAAAAATTGTCAATACTTTTGTTCATTAATGAATGCTATGACAGTGCAAATATCATGAATTAACGAGAATTGTATCATTGTTTGGAGACCTTTCTTTTGAAAATGTGTCAGGGTTAAATCGTATACATATACATGCACAGTGCGTTAACTGGAGTGCGGGTATTAGTTACCCGCACTCCAGAGCATGCCCATTGATTGGCTCATTTTTGCTGGGGGTTTACATATTGTGACGGCAGAGAAAGGGAAAGCGACAGAAATGTCATATTCAGATCTTCGTTCATTGGTTCATTTTTGCCGGGGTTTCATATTGTGACATCAGGGAACGTGCTTTTATGTTTGACTATGATACAAAAGAGAAAGAACACCAAATCACTCGGCAATCTGATTACGCCCCCTCGTACAAATCAAAAAGCCTCGTGTTTCGGTGCTCTTTCTATTACTTATAATCTTTTGCTTTATATATCTGCGTCTGTTAACTTCGTTTATAGCTACTTAAATATACCAGTTACGGTATATCTATTGCTAAACAAGGAAAGTAAATGAAGTTGCTTTAAAATTAGTATATATTTGATTACCTCTCCTGCACCTTGAAATACAAACACATTTTCTTTGAGTGATTTACCGGTGATTTTCAAACTAGCAAATATGCCTGCCACAGCGACAGAAGCTGTACCTGTATAGAAGAAATAATGCTACATGTTGTAAATATCAAATAAAAATTATGAAGTAAAATTTTTAAGAATACACAAATAATCAAGCTTGTAATCATTGACAACAGTAAACTTGAATTACCAACAAGAAGCACATCACTTTCCAACATATTAAAATCGTTACTCAAATTTTCGGATGTGCTGTTGCCAAATAGGCAAACAAAGGAAATTTCTAATAAAAACTTGTACTTGCAATTTCAAGACTTAGATATCAAAATATTGTTGTTAAATTTATTACAGATTCAATGCACACCAACTATTTACATTGTGTTTTTTTCACTGTAATATGTAAAATGGTTCATTGTGGCTTTAGAAATTTGCGAATACGCTTTGCAGGCTCTTCATTAGTGCAGGCGTACGTCCTTGAAACTCCCATACATATTGCCTTGATGGATAATGTTCAACGCAGACGACAAGACCAGACAATCAACAATATATAGAGAAACAAACCTTGAATATCATCATTAAAACAACAATAAGTGTTTCTGTATTTTTCCAGCAACCTAAATGCATTATGATTGCCAAAATCTTCAAACTGTATTAAACAATTGCCACCATATCTGAAAATAAAGCCATACATTATATAAGACCTACGTTTACACATACATCAGCTGTCAAATACATTGAGATATTTCAACAACATGAATATTTATTAAAGGTAGCTAAAATTTAGGTTAACAAGGTTTTGATGATTTAAATATTTAGTCAAAGCTTAAAAATAATCTTTTCGATAAAAAAATATAAATAAATATAAAACTAATATTTATAACATAGGAACACCATGTACTTTTTAGCGACTGCGTGCATGAATTCTTCAATAAGGGCATCATAGGCTGGTCCGCGTTCACGTTTCTGTTTCAAGCCAATATACAGCGGATCTTTTAGCAGTGACTGAAAATAGATATACATAAAAAGGTTTAGTTGTATAATTTCGAATAAGTTACGAAAGATTGAATGCTAATAATAATAGTGACAATATTCAGGTTTTAATTGTCCAAGAAAGTCAAATATGCTTCCTCAGCTTGGTCCGAACAAATGTTTCAACACTTGGCATTTGCTTTGCAATCCAATTTCGAAAGGTTACAGACAAATGCTTTCGGAATCAGCAAAAATGAAAGTCAAAATCGAAAAAGATATACGGTGAATTTACTGATTTACAACATTTAGTACGACATACATGTATGTCTGTTACATAGAAGATATACCGGTAAAATTAAAGTAAGGTATAAGTTTCTGTAACACAAATCATGCAAGCAGGTTCATAGCTAAATAGCTTTCGTATTATTCTTAATTTCTGTGCCATGCAGCCATTCATACTAGCCCATTCCATTATTCAATATTAAATAATCTTTATACTAAACAATCTTTTTTTTTAAGAAATTAACTATTAAAAAAGCGAGTACGGACATATTAGTCTATCAGGTTAAATCAAATCATATGAATATTTAAATCATGCAAGTACATAAAACGTTTTATTTGTTATAAAAAGGTAACATATATAAAACAGGTCATTAACTTGACTTAAAGATATATTTTAAAACTGGGATGTCCATTTCGTCGTTAATTGAGCGTATACCTCGGTATCCGTGCCGACGTCGATCATTATAGGTAGACATTGATGAGGTTGTACCCCGGCAAGTGCTGTGTATAGTGACAGCTTTCCAACCGGTATACCCATACCAAAACAGCCCAAGTCTCCAAGCCCAAGGATTCTCTCACCGTCTGTTACCACTATTGCCTTGAAAAATGATATAATAAACAATATGTATTATTAATTACATGTCATTATATATCAGATTGTAATTGGTTTTGTTTGTAGTAACAAGTTTTATAACATTACTATGATCAAAGTTACGATATTGAGATTATGATACAAGAATGGGGACGGCTGTTTGAGAATGACGCCTGTGGTCCGTGTCATACGGTGATACAGTGTATCCGGGGTGATTCATTGTTGCGTAAACGATAACATGTATGACTGAACTAAACTAATTGAAAAAGGTGTCCCTAATTTTATATCATTTTGTATCCTTTTCAGTATATTTTTCAAGCGTAAATTGATAAAAACTGTTTCTTTGATGTAGGAACATCCAACATACAAATATAAAACATGTGAAAATACCTTGATATCATCGATGTGCCAGTTACATAGAATGTCATACACATGGCCAAGATCGTGAATTGTAATGTACAGCCCTCTGAAATAATTATTATAATCAGTGAACTTAGACCACGGAGCATAATCTGATCATAAAATGTCTGTAAAATGCTGCACAATGACTTATACAAATGTATAACATTAATAAAGGTATACTAGCTGTCGCACACACTTGTCCGTACTTTAAGAAACAATAAGAGTTGTAAAATATCTTATGGTATCTGTTCAGTTTAATCAATACGTTTCCACCAAGTAGTTGAGTAATCTGCTTATATTGTAATCATTGATTTCTGGGAAGTACATGTAATATAAAAGCGTAACTGATAACTCTCACCACAAGTGGTTGGTAAATATTCATCCAGCTACCACTATGGTAAATACTAGTTTTAAACTAATTACACTGTCTCGAATGATCTATAAACCAATAATGTTCAGCAAATAAAAAACAAATATGCAAAGTGTCGTATATTTAATACCACAACATTTTAAATGAAAATGTAATTTAGTATGGATATTTTTGCTATTATAGACCTTTATAGGTCTTCGGTTGATATTTAAATATATGTATCCGGCAAAAAAACAACTATTAAATTGGCCATGAAATTTACAATTTGGTGCAAAAGCTAACTTAAAAAATGTTTGGATCTATTTTGACTAGGTTATAAATGTATTCATTCAGGATATTGAAATTAAAGGCAGTCTAGTATTACATAAAAAGAGGAAAATTAAGGTGTTAGGTTGTAGCGACAACCCGGATATTTAGTAATAAGATATACATAGCGTGGGAAGATATACTAGCTGTATTTATAACTATAAACAGTACATGTAATATACAATATACATGTACTACAATATAAATATTCATGAGAACTGTCACATTGATTATTGTCATACTACACGCAATAGTATAAAATATACCAACATATCACATTGTTGAAAATAGCTTATGAGAAGGAAATGATTATTTTCATCCGAAATCTTATAATTATTGTTGGGTTATAAGTCACGCCACACTATTATTACCATAAGGCGACTTTCCAGCTTTACTTGTTGAGGACTACCTCAAGTGCAAGTTCGTGCTTTTATAAAGTTCATCCGAATATGTATTGATGAGACCATCTGGTAGACAACTTATTTGGAGCTTGCATTTTAATATACAGTTTCTGTTTAATATGAAGCATATAGTATACTGTATTAGTATTGTAAAGTAAGAGTTTGTTTGAAAGCTAAATTTACCTGGGTTTTCTGAGTGTCAGACCATATTTGAGACAAGCCTGTCCTACGGTTGGTGTATATATTATCGGCATCATCAACTCTACATTCTGCATTATTGTCCTGTAAAACAGCCTCTCATTACGATCCTATAATAATAAATGTGCAAAATGTGATTTATATATACAAAATACATGTCTTTAGGACGCTAGGACATGAACTGAATAAAAAACACAAGTTGTGCATTGCACATAACTGACAGAGAAATCCACCATTTTTACCACCTCTGAAAATATTACTTCGGAACGATTTTTGGACCCTGCATTGAATACTGTATAAGTGCTTAATTTTGCGACGTGGAAATATTTGCTTTTTTGGTTCTTTTTTTTTTGCGAATCAAAATAATTCGCAAATAATTTCGGCGGCCAATATCTTACAAATTTATGTGTCCAAAAATAGCTAAACCGTGGCAAGACCCATTGATAATGTATGTGTCTTAAAATAGCTTATCATGTGCAAGACGTGTTGCGTGGGATATATCCTGATATAAGTTATGATAGACATGTAAGTGAAGGACTAGAGGAGTTGCTGATTCATTCTTTAGAGTAAATACATCATAACGGTCGTGTCCCGAACTTAAAGTCCTGGAAAAATTATTTCTGAACACCGCAAAAAAAGTAACCGAAAGTAACCGAAAGGCGGAAATACTTAGTACATGTAGATGACCAGATTTACAAAAGCACTTACCTGAAGAGACATCATATATATAAAACGGTCCAGGTCGTTGTCCCAGCGGTAAAAGTTCTGCATGACAAAGTATACTTGCTGGTCTTGTGTTATTATATTTGGCGGCAAGAGACCGTGTAGGCCGAGCAACTGACGTTCCCTTAGTGTGAAACACATTGCCTACAATGATGAAATTGGTTCAAATTACATGGTCGTTTACAAGGTAAAGAAAGAAAGAAAACATAAACTTTACTTCATTGATTGAACCCCGACGGAGCATTTGTGGCCGAGTGGTTAATGTCGTTCAAACCACTTGCCCCTTACCGCTTTAGGTTCGAATCCCGCCAGGGCTTTTGGATTCTTTCATGTAAGGAAGCTGTCCAGCTAGCTCACGGTGGTTTTATTCAGGTGCCCGATTATTGTTAACATGATATACATTGATCTGTACACTAAATGTTTTATCATTAGCCATACAAGCAACACCGTGTCGATGATACTAGACCACCAGTTATACTAATTCATTAGAAATAAAGAAAAGCTGGTGTATACCAGTAACCAAGTCTCCTGTCTTCAGGCTTTTAAGGATATGGTAAGACAAAATGATGTTTTATTCTAGAAACATCACTGGCGGTACAGGTCTTGAGCATGCGGAGTTTAAAAACCTCCTACAAGGAACTTTATACGGAAGGCCAATAGATCTTTCAATCGGATCTAATTCGCCTACCATAATATAGATATTCGGCAGTTGGACCACTAGATTAAGAGAATGTCCTGTGAAATAGCAGCTGTTGTAAGCATTATGTCACGTAGCATTGTCTGATCACAGCGTTTCACGTATCATCACGTATTATTATGTTCATCGATATACATGTTTTTAATTATTTACATTCAAATATGAAATGTAGAATAGACATATACATGTATGAGACCTGAAATACAACACGCATGACTCAGGTCCCGGATATAAGCTACACGGATATAACAAAACATCGCATTCAGCTACCCGTATACGTAGATATAATACCTAAAAATACTGCTTAACTCGACGAGTATCCGGCTATGACAACTGTTTAATTTGTGGTGAGGTTCGTGTCTAAATAACTACATAAATATGTTCTGTACAAGCATGTAACATGATGTACATACAAACGGATATGATAAACACTTTAATACATGTTGCGAACATGCGCTGGTCAGGACCATGACAATTTTTATCTTAAGCGATATTCCGAGCTGGTTTTCACCACGTTTTTTTTACTAGATACACTTTAAACAGATAATTCAATTAGACTAAGAAAATTACTGTATTGATTGGTACAGGGGAAATGAGAGAAGGAAGTACTTAATTAGCTGTTATAAAATGTCCAAACAATGAAATGAGACTGAATTTTTAAATCTAAATTGATTAATGGTGGTGTGTAATAAAATAATAAATAATAAAGTTCCCCAAATTGTAACTCATTCTATAGTTCAAGTGTTTCAGCCACCCTTTGTAACATACAAAACAAATCATTGGCGACATAAATGTTTATTATTATTACAATTATTATTTAGTGTAAATTTTAAATATGCCCGTGGACGTGATGTTTTATTTAAAGACATAAACGATCTTATTCTTGTTTAATATGGGTGTTTAGTGAAAGTAGATAAAGGAAATGACATAAACATGGACATGTATAAACGTGACACTTTATCAAAACAAACTAACCACTGGTCAAGTTGGCCTACTTGTCATAAATATGAAATATTTAAGTATACGAGTTCGTTTTTCAGTAACTGTTAACATATTTCTGAATGATTTAAGATTATTTTGTACATATCGAACTTTCAATATACCACAAGTGTCATAAATCAGACCAGATTAAAGATCATATGTCAAATACTAGTACTATATAAAGCATAAGTTAAACAGTGAAAAAATACAATACCATGCAATACAATACCTATATTTAGATATTTTCCTATGTTGAAATATCGGATCAAAATAAAAGCACGAAAGTACAAGGATAATAAAATGTTTACCTTATTTTGATGTGGATCCCTCAGCAGGTCCATTCCCCTGACCCTCGGGCGACCTATTTTCACATCAATTTCCTCCTCTCGTTTATCCGACTGAGCCATGTTGAGGATCTTATCTAAATGAGCTCTGAAATGAAAATTATCAAGGGAGATTACTGATACAGTCACTCTCGGTTTATTTAAGGTATTTAACTAGTACAAGTGTTCTAATAATATTAAAGGGTTTGTTAAATTTCCGGATATTACTGGTTTTATCGCGGTTTTAACTGCACGTCAGGCGGGAACTTGCTTTTGTTTTGATAACAAAACGGCTTGATGAATGTTTCGAGAGTTGGGGCATTATACCGATTGCCTAAGCCGTATTAGTAATCCATTAATAAGTGGTACATTGTACTATGTAATATAATTTGGTTAACGTAAAGTGAAACCTGTGTACATGTACATATTTCAAATGAAACTCATTCTATTATCTAAAATATCAGGTACTGAAGACCCTTTGATGCTTTATCACTCGTCACCTTTTTATTGTAGTTAAATGTCTTAATGTGAAATTGCAACATGCAAATTTTTACACAAAAAATCACTATTTGCTAGTCTAACAATGACAATAACCCTCATAGATAAAAAATGAAGAAAAAAGCACAAAAAACAAATAGATAAAACGGGGAAAACGAATTTGAGATATGCATTTAATTTTGATAAGTCGACCTGTATAGTCAGGACTACATTAAGCAGGCAAAGTAGAAAAAGCGTGATAATTGAATAAAACAATCGTACCAACCTTTCTAACCCTGATGTAATGTAAAATTCTCATTTTTAAACATTCATTTAAAGATATTACTAATTATATGGTAAGAATATGTATAAAGCCTTACTCTTTGTCCATTCCTTGTCGGTAAACCTGATAACCGCTTGTTGATGACATCACTGTTAAGTTATTGGGTCTTAATATTCTAGAAAATAAGCATTTAACATTACATCCTCTAACTACTAAAAGATGCGACATAGGGCCTGATTTTCAAATATTGTACTATTACAATATAGCAACCAGGCCCTTGTTGCAAATTTAGCGTTAATTTGACGTAACGCTGTCATAGACACAACGTGGAAACGTCATTATTCTGAACGTTTTATATGAACGTCGGTTTCTTTACGACCTTGACGTTAATTCTATCTATGCGGATGAAAATTTATTAAATCAAATTTATTATAAAGCGCTTTGCAGTATCTTAAATCTTCTATAAACGGCTGTTTGCTATACAAGTGTCACAAAATTATACAAGCGCTTCATTGACGTTGAAGAAATATCATTTTAATATATCAAAATGTTCTTAAAATTCATGAAAATATATGTAACCCTCTCGTTTAATATATTGTATACCGTATTTACATGTATATATGCATTTATTTAATTTGAACAGAGATGTAGATAAATCTATGTCTCTGATTTTAATATAAACTTAATTTATTTAAAAAAATGATTGTTTTCCATACACGTAACTCCTTATTGATATTTTAATATGTCTTTGTGTTTATATGTAAATTGTATAAATATAAACATCTCACCTCTAAGCTTTACAAAATCCGTATTTCACTCCTTGTCAATGATCAACCACATTTGGTTTTATTTCTGTTACGAGTAGATTTATTTTTCCGGAATGTACACATTTGTCTACAAGAGCCTGACATTCAAACAGAAACAAATCACAAAATCCGAAGACAGAGAGAAAGGCATTCATTAATTGCAAACACTGATTGCATCTGATTCGTTCGGTACTAATTAGTTTTTTCATATGAAAGGAAAGATTTATATCTAACTCGTGTTCAAATGTCCTTCAAGGGATTATAAGTTCACGAGTTGAACTCGAAAGTGCCATCTTGCAATATGATTTGAAATGGTTGCGGGACAGCAAATGGAGCTAACTCTTGTATCTATGAATTAAGACTCTGTGCGAGTTACCTTTCTTGTACCACAGTCACAAATATTTAAACAGTAGCCTTGAATGTGAAATAATTAGAAATATAAGTAGCAAAATGTAAAAATATAGTATTTTCAAATTACATACAAATTAAATCTCTATAATTGTTTTAACTGTCAAAAAGCAACAAAAGTAAAAGATGTAGATTTTAAGTAAATAACAATAATAGCATGTCTGGTGTATGAGTTTTAATCCTCTTACTCACCAGGGACGCTGTTATAGCCTCTTGCTGTCTCTACAGGAGAACGTAGGACTGTTTTACTGGTAAATGCGTCCTGGAAGTGAGGCGATAATTGAGGTTACTCCTCTTAAGTTAAACAATTTAGTTAAATCTCCCAGAACGTACAATCTCTATTTTTACTTAAAATAAAAAAGGCGACACAAGAGATTTAGTCAAAATCTCACATGTCAACAGGACCAAAATAGGACATGATATTTTTTCGTTTAATGTGAATTATAACGTCTCAAATTAATTAAGTGAAGAAATCTGCAATCTCATTCCAAAATTAAGAAGAAATAGTAAACATATTTTGCATCTTAGTCCAAAGGAGGAATTAGATTTTGCCCCAAGTACCCTGGTGCTTTAATTAACGACTAGAAATATATGTTAGTGTATATAAATTCCATCTTCATAGATACTAGGCATTTTACCGGAAGATTTTTTTTGTATATTTTGGTGTAACTAAATACCTTTATTCTCTTTTTTAAACTAATGGTTTTTAAGATCGTATTGATAAATAGGTTGAGAAATTAGGTTGATAAGACACGAAGGTACAACCACTCTCTCTTTTTAAAACACTTAGAACAATCAATATATAATGGGTCGAAATTAGTACTCTAAATCTGTCAATGATCTATATGGTCTATATGAACCATGGTCTTAGATTTCACTCAAGTATAAACAATGTGAAATTAAGAAATTTAGATATAGTAAACTGATACAAAATTTAGACAGGTTATGTTTTCGGTGCAATCATGGTAAACAATGCAATTTAAAAGGATTTGTTTTCTGTAAACAGCAAGCGTGCTTCAAGTATATTTAAATAAACATTTACACAAAATGTATATATGATAATCAGCTATGACTTTGGGATAATTTAACGGGGATAGCAGCATGGTATCTTTGATTCTAGAGTTGTTTAAGATACCACGTAAGGTATGTTCCTATTATATCATCTTATAAAGTTATATCACTGATTGATTTGTTTGTTTGGTTTTACGGCGCACCAACACAATTTAGGTTATATGGAGCCGAAACAGGAAAGATTTTGGCTAACTTCGTGTATGACAAACTTATAGCAACACCAGGGGTCAACCCATCTCACCTGCTTGAGATAAGAAATACATAGACTCCAGCAATTCGAACCCATTTAGTCCCCTCTTATAATCGGCAATTCTGATGCCAAATCCAGTAAAGGTAACCCCTCCACCACAAGGGGCTCTATGACTGATATATATATAGTTTTAGTGTAATTATCTTCATTGTATCCATGTACATTTGTTGTTTCTATAATTATTAAAAAAATACAATATATTTGTGCTGAGGAGAAAATTGTAACAAAATATATTGACGCGCTTTTAGATGCATGAAAGATTCAATGAAGATTGTGTTAAGATATAGGGACGTATTTATACAGTCATTTAAAGTTTTATGAATCCTGTCTTGTGGCATGAAGATAAAGGGAGCCCCGGTGTGTTTATACAGTCATTTAGAGTTTCGTGAAATTTGTCTGTGACAATATATATTGGGGCTTGCTCATACATGCCTTAATAATTCCGCCAACTTTGTCTGTGAAAAGACATATGTTCCATGCATTAAGAACATCATTAAGAACATCATGAACTTTGTCTGTGATAAGATATATTATTAGTTATAAAGATTGTTGACAGGTTATAAGGGCCAATATAAACGGCTGTTTGTAAATATAACCCGAGCCGCTAGGCGAGGGTTATATTGCAAATAGCCGTTTATATACGGCCCTATAACCTGTCAACAATCTTTATAACGAATTTATAATACAGCAAGCATCATTATTAGAGAAAAAAGTAAGATTTCTTCATGAATCGACAGCAGCCGTGTTTATAAGACTATATAAACGTCACGATTATCCAATTAAAAGCGACGTTACAAACGTGCAGTATTATAATAACGTTGATATGTTTTACAGCCATTTAGTTTCATGAATTTTGTTTGCGACAAGATAGAGACGTGTTTACACATGCATTAAGAATTCTGTATAATAATAATAATAATAATAATAATAATAATAATAATAATAATAATAATAATAATAATAATAATAATAATAATAATAATAATAATAACAATAATGAAAATAAATAATAATAATAAAAATAACTTTATTTAAAGTAGGTATCACATGAATTAAGATATACCATCGTGTTATACATGCATTAAGAATTCCAGGAACTTTGCTGTGGCAAGATATATGGACGTGTTTGCCTGTGACAAGATATATGGACGTGTTTTTAGACTCATTAAGTGTTACATGAACTTTTCTGTGACAAGATATATGGACGTGTTTGTCTGTGACAAGATATACGGACGTGTTTGTAGACTCATTAAGTGTTACATGAACTTTTCTGTGACAAGATATATGGACGTGTTTGTCTGTGACAAGATATATGGACGTGTTTGTAGACTCATTAAGTGTTACATGAACTTTTCTGTGACAAGATATATGGACGTGTTCGAGACTCATTAAGTGTTGCATGAACATTTCTGTGACAAGATATATGGGCGTGTTTGTAGACACATTAAGTGTTACATGAACTTTTCTGTGACAAGATATATGGACGTGTTTTAGACTAATTAAGTGTTACATGAACTTTTCTGTGACAAGATATATGGGTGTGTTTGTAGACACATTAAGTGTTACATGAACTTTCTGTGACAAGAGATATGGACGTGTTTTTAGACTCATTAAGTGTTACATGAACTTTTCTGTGACAAGATATATGGACGTGTTTGTAGACTCATTAAGTGTTACATGAACTTTTCTGTGACAAGAGATATGGACGTGTTTTTAGACTCATTAAGTGTTACATGAACTTTTCTGTGACAAGATATATGGACGTGTTTGTCTGTGACAAGATATATGTACGTGTTTGTAGACTCATTAAGTGTTACATGAACTTTTCTATGACAAGATATATGGACGTGTTTGTCTGTGACAAGAGATATGGACGTGTTTTTAGACTCATTAAGTGTTACATGAACTTTTCTGTGACAAGATATATGGACGTGTTTTAGACTAATTAAGTGTTACATGAACTTTTCTGTGACAAGAGATATGGACGTGTTTTTAGACTAATTAAGTGTTACATGAACTTTTCTGTGACAAGAGATATGGACGTGTTTTAGACTAATTAAGTGTTACATGAACTTTTCTGTGACAAGAGATATGGGCGTGTTTTTAGACTCATTAAGTGTTACATGAACTTTTCTGTGACAAGAGATATGGACGTGTTTTTAGACTCATTAAGTGTTACATGAACTTTTCTGTGACAAGATATATGGACGTGTTTTTAGACTCATTAAGTGTTACATGAACTTTTCTGTGACAAGATATATGGACGTGTTTTTAGACTCATTAAGTGTTACATGAACTTTTCTGTGACAAGAGATATGGACGTGTTTTTAGACTCATTAAGTGTTACATGAACTTTTCTGTGACAAGATATATGGACGTGTTTTAGACTAATTAAGTGTTACATGAACTTTTCTGTGACAAGAGATATGGACGTGTTTTTAGACTCATTAAGTGTTACATGAACTTTTCTGTGACAATATATATGGACGTGTTTGTAGACTCATTAAGTGTTACATGAACTTTTCTGTGACAAGAGATATGGACGTTTTTATAGACTCATTAAGTGTTACATGAACTTTTCTGTGACAATATATATGGACGTGTTTGTAGACTCATTAAGTGTTACATGAACTGTTCTGTGACAATATATATGGACGTGTTTGTAGACTCATTAAGTGTTACATGAACTTTTCTGGGCGTGTTTATGCATGCTTTGAGAATTCCATGAAATTTGTCTTTGACGGACGTGTTTATACAAAT